TGTGCTCCAGCTCCTGCTTCCAGGTTCCTGCCCTGAGTTCCTACCTTGGGCTCCTTGATGAACTGCGACCTGGGAGATGTAAGATAAATAAACCCTTTCCTCCCCAAGTTGGTCTTGGTCAGAGTATTTTGTCACAGCAATAAAGAACTAAGACAGACATCCTTAGCACATGACATAGAGGTAGGTGTCACTATTTCCATTTTACAGATAAGGAAACAGGCTCTGAAAGGTTAAGTAAGATGTCCAGTGTCTTTCAGAGGTGGTAGATCCGGGATTCATATGTAGCTCAGGCTCCAAAAGTCTATTCTCAGCCATAACATCCAACTGTCAAGGTAGAGGCAGAGAAGTGAAGTGCAGACCTCCCAGGTAGATGCCAGCAAGGCCAGTAACTGCAGCCTAGGCAGGGTCTTCCTGAACCCACAAAACAGCTGAAGCTCATGGGTGAGGTGGGGGCCACTGTAAAAGAACTCCTGGGGACTCTGCCCCCAGCAGGAAGAACTGGGACCCTGGTCAGGCTGTTCTCTTAGCCTCTGAAATCAGAATCCCCACCCACTTGGAAAAGCCAGCACCCATGAGTTGGCCACTGGTGACTCTCACTGGGGGAGAGGGGAGGGAAGGAGTGCCTAATGCTCTTTTAGGGCCCTTCTTCCAATATCTATCAACAACCAGAGCACCTTACCTTTTCTTCAGACCTACTCAGGATCTGGTGTCTTGGAGGGTCTGAATCTCAGCTCTCCTCGCTTACTGTGTGGTCTTCATCAAGCCACTGAAACTTGTCCTGCCATGTCTGTACAGGGCTGGAGATGGTGAGGCACACAGAGGGAACTCGACTTTCATATTAAGAGATCTGGGATAAATGGGCTGGGTTTGAATCTTCTGCTTGCTAGCTGTATGACTTTGAGCAAGTTACTTCTTTTTGCCTCAGTCATCTGAATTATGGCCTCATAGGGGCAATGAAGATGACAAAGATGATGGTGATAGTAATCAGTTGGAATTCTGTCATCAATTAAGAGTTATTCATTCATAAGCAGGAGAATTTGCCCCGGGGGTTAGGTGGCTGGTAGCAAATCTCAAGAGCAGAGAAGTGAGTATAAAGGACCTGGGCACCTAAAGAAAGAAGAGGCACCACAGTCGCTCATCCAGTGGTCCTGAAACATAGTGACTGTCCACTGTGTTCCAGGCACAGAAGTACAACAGCCTCCATAGAGCTTTCAGTCTGAGCGGGAATCAGAATTAACCAAATGATTCTACAGAGTTGATCTAGGTCATGACTGTGTTCCTGCAGGCCAAGTACCATCTCTGCTCGGCTGGCTGGCTGGAGAGTGGGCGGGTTGCTTACCCTACAACCTATGCCTCCAAAAAGTGTGGTGGCAGTGTGGTTGGAATAGTGGACTACGGACCCAGGCCCAACAAGAGTGAGATGTGGGATGTCTTCTGCTACCGGATGAAAGGTAAATGCCTCACCTACACTTCAGGCTCCAGGCCAGACAACAGCTGACCACCTCTGTCTGGTCAATCCCCATGAGTGCACAGGGAGCCCTGGCGCCACCTCACTGAGCGTGGCCTCTGTGCCTCTGTTCTCCAGATGTGAACTGCACCTGCAAGGCAGGCTATGTGGGAGACGGCTTCTCATGCAGCGGGAACTTGCTGCAGGTCCTCATGTCCTTCCCCTCACTCACGAACTTCCTGTCGGTATGTATCACGTGGCCTGGGCTCCCCTTAGGCAGGGAGGCTTGTCTTCAGGCAGCTGATGGAGGAGAGAGGTTTTGGCTGATGGAGGAGAGAGGTTTTGACGAAGCCAAAGTCTCATAGTTAGGGTTAAGGGTACGGGTGTTGGACCACCCTGTCTAAATGTGAGGCTTGGCTTTGCCACTCATTTGCTGCACAGTGTTAAGCAGGTTACCCCCTTCCCCTCTGAACCTGGGCTTTCTTATCTGTAAAATGGAGTTGATGACAGCAGCAGCCTCATGGTATCACTATGTTCACTAAATAAGTTGGTATTTGTGACACATTTAGATCTATGGTCAGCACATGGAATTCTGTATTGATGGTATTACCTGCGTTTGTATCTAAAAATAAAAGACTGATCAAACAAAAAAATAGTTTCAAATTCTAGAAGGTGATACATATTATGGAAAAAGAAAATGTCAAGCAAAGGGTGGAAGGCCCCACAATATCCCTTGTGAGGAGGGAAAGAGGCAGCCTCATGGGAAGGCAGTGTTGTGGGAGCAAAGTATGACTGGAGAGAGGGAACTGCAGACCCGTGCAGACATGATGAACATTGTAGGCACAGTGAACAGTCCAGGCAGAGGGTGAAAGGAGAAAGTGTGCAGGGCCAGTGAGGGAAGCAAGGAGGCCAGTGTGGCCACAGCAGAGAGTGGACGGCTGCTTTCGAGGCCTGCAGAGCCACAGCCAGTGCTTTAAGGCTTTGATTTTTCACTCAGTGAAGTAGCCCTCAAAGGACTTTCAGACGAGCTGATTTAAGATCTGACTTAATTTCAAAAGACTACTCAGGCTGCCATGTTGAGGAAAATCTACACTGTGGCTATGTCTTATGTCATGAGTCAGTGTATCAGAAACACATGGGCATGGCTGTCTTTCCACAGTATCCAAATTTATTTAATAAGAATTAATTCACAAGTGCTGTCAGTTTTATTGGCTGTAATTTACTAAGTGATCCTATATTCCCTTGATAATGTGGACACTGAAAATCACAGGTCCTTTAATTCCGATTGATTGTAGTATTAACTCTCAGGTCATGTATTACATTTCACATGGTAAGATATACATATATATGTGACAGAATGGCTACAAAAGGGTTAAAGAAGCCCCCGAGCTCAGAGGCCTTGTTGAAGGCAGAGGCAGAGGACTGGTATAATGCAAAGTCACTGCAGGTGGTAAGATATTAAAAAGCTGGATGGAGAGTTGCTGGAGGGCAGCCTGGGGGTTCAAGGCAAGTGAAGCACAGGACTGGGGCAGGTCGGGATGAACTGCAATTGAATGGGCTTTGCCAAGCTGTGGGTACCATGGTGAGCTGAAGTTCTGGGACAGGCAGTTAGCTGCCCATCAATTGTGAGACACATGTGCTGCCCTGGATGGTCAGAAGACAGGTCAGTTCAGACCACTACTGCCCCAAAGTTAGGTGGTCCTCCTTTTAAGTGATCCAGGAGAGGAGGCCACATCCTTCACCAGTCCAGTGTGTTAGATAAGTTTCGTAGGTGGTTCCTTTTTACTTACATGAGTTACACATCAGTCTGTGCCCCATGGTTTGTGCTGGACAGGCAGCAGTGTCCTGTGCACAGATGAGATGCAGAGTTATACTGCCTCTGGGTTTGTACTCAAAATGGAGCCAACTACTGCTCTGAGATGGAGTGGGAACTCAGGGCGGGGCACAGGCACTGCTTCACACAACATGGAGCAGGACACAGCCTGATCTCATGCCAGCTTATAGGACTCATTCAGGAAAGGAAAAGTCTTCCTAAAACTCTCCCAAAGGGCAGTGAGAGGAAAGAAAGGAAGCCCCACTTCAGGCTAGATTTGCAGAGGCATGATGCCCCAATACCCTCTCCAGTCACCCCACCCCCACCCCCGCACACCACAGTGGCCCATCTGATCACTTCCTCCTTCTCCCTAGGAAGTGCTGGCCTATTCCAATAGCTCAGCCCAAGGCCAGGTGTTTCTGAAACACCTGACTGACCTGTCCATCCAAGGCACTCTCTTCGTGCCACAGAACAGTGGGCTGCAAGAAAGTGAGGTGAGTAGATTCCCGATTGCCTGTGCTTTAGAATAGAATGAGTTATCTGTCACACCAGTGTGTTACAAATTACTCCCCACATAGTGGGAGTTATCTGTCACACAGTGTGTTACTGTGGTGGTGCAGGCTTATAATTCCAGCATTTAGGGAGTAGAGGTACAGGACCTTGTCTCAAAAAGAAAAACCCTACCCACCCCCAAACACAGCAGATAGCAGTCATTTAGCACACGAACCTGCCAAGCAGCTGCCACTTCTGGTCTCTGCACACTCAGGCTGACCTGTTGATGGCTCTGCTCTGCAGGGCTCTCATGCCCCAGCAGGCTCCCTTGAGCATGTTCCACCAGCCATGGCAGGAAGCCAGTGTGCCCAGTAAATATCCACTACTTCTGTGCTTTTCAGTCCTCTGCTCATGTTTACTAACATGCCATTGGCCAATAGGCCACAGGGCTGAGCCCAAAGTCAGTCCAGAAGCAAGGGTCCTGGGCCACTGTGTAATCAGTACAGCATAGCAACCTTCTTCATGCTGTGATACACAAAGGATAGGACTTAGTCAACCCACAGGCGGGCTGGCCAGCAGGCTGTCAGCTCCAGGTACCACTCCCCAGCCACTGAGAGCTGAGGAGCAACACCTCTGCCTGTCTGGTACCCACTCCGGACCTGCTCTTTCCAAGACACCCCTGGGAAGCTCCACTTAGACAATGAAAATGACATTTGATCCCACATTCTACTTGCACATGAGCCTCTGGCAGGACCTCGACAACCAAATGCTGAGAAGAGCTTGGTATTCCTGATGTTGCCCAGACTTAAAATACCATCCATCTGCTTTTTTCCTCTCAGAGCCTGTCTGGGAGGGACATCGAGCACCACCTCACCAATGTCAGCATGCTTTTTTACAATGACCTTATTAATGGTACCATCTTGAGGACTAGGCTGGGAAGCCAGTTGCTCATCACCTCCAGCCAGGACCAGCTCCACCAGGTATGAAAAGTCTTCTGGGGCTTGTTGGGAGAAATGGATAAGATACAGGCAAAGCTCTTGGTGTGCAGCAGGCGCTCAACAGATAGCAACTATCATAATGTGAAAGTAAACTGTAAATCTACAGATGGGGGATGGTATTAATGCATACTATTATAACATCCCATACTGACAGGCCACCCCTAAGCCTTGGGAACAGATTGGCCTCAGAAGCTGTTACTAAGTGAGAAATGAAACCATTTTAAATGTGCTTGGTTCTTGACCTTTGTTTCCATCAGATTGTTAGTCTAGCTCAGGCATTCAAAAATGAACTTCAAGGTCAAATGACCCTGGTATGAATCCCAGTCCTGCTGTAAGAAATTTGGCTACTCAACTTCTCTGAGCTTTGTTTCCTCATTGAGTAGGGATGATGGTGGCAGTAATGATGGTGGTGACAGTGATGATGATGGTGGTGGTGCAATTATGATACTGATGATGAAAATAAAGGGGATGATGGTGATGACAGAAGTGGTAATGATGTTGACGACAACAGTAACTGTGAACTCTAAACCCGTAAGGTGTGGTGGGAGTCCAGTGATTCAAAGTTTGTGATGTGTAGTGTCTGACATGATGAATCCTAAGTGGGCAGTGATTAGAATGAGTGCTTCTTAAATGTCTGTACAGCAGAGTCACCTGAAAGTCAGAATGCAACTGTGACTCAGAAGGGGCCTCAGTTCCCCCGGCACAAGCTAGTATTTACACTGGGATTAGAAATATGGAAATCCCTCCTATTGGTATGTAGTGATCAGAGCCATGGACACAGGGCTGTGGGTTTGCCACTTACCGCACCAGAGATCTTGGATAGGTCATTTTCCTTTTGATAGATCAACTGTCACACATAAGGTAGGAAAAACAGCCCCTGAGGTCTCTGCAGCTCTCAGATCAGCTTGTCGGTGGTACAAAGCAATGGGTTTCTGACAGTATGCAAGGGAAGCTAGGCTGAAGCTAGTCTCTGAGGCCTCAGAGAAGCCCAATGGAAAGACTGCATTTGTGGGGAGAGGGCTGAGTGGTCACATACCTCCATGCACTGTCTTCTCCATTCCCTAGGAGACCAGGTTTGTGGATGGAAGAGCCATTCTGCAATGGGATGTCATTGCCTCCAATGGGATCATTCATGTCATTTCCAGGCCTTTGAAAGCACCCCTTATCCCAGCAGTGAGTATTCTCATTCCTGGTGAGGTGCCAGGAAGACCCAATGTCCAGTGCATTCCCCAAAACTATCCACTAGCTTCCTCCCACAGAAAGAGAAAGGCCTCTCACCCTGACTGATGAGGCAGCTAGCCTCAGGAAGCCCTGGGGGTAAGGGGGCTTCCCTCCCTCCCTACACAGAAACACTGAACTGGTTACCACTTACTGATAGGGAAAGATGGGGGCAGGAGCTGGAAGGGAAGTGAGAAATCCTATGCTCTGATTTCTCTGAGGATCTCTGAGCCCAAGTTTTCTCATCTACACAGTGTGTGTGAGGCAGTGTTCATAATGCCTGCTTCCCTGATATGGGGGAAGACTGACTTAAGAAATATCAAATACTTAAACAGTTCCTGACACATTGTACTTGCTCTGTAAAGACTGGCTGTTAACTGTTAGTATCCTAACATTTTCCCAGGAGCATGAAGGGTGAGCTGCTAATTACTGGGAAGTTCTGTAGCATAGTGCTTGTGCAAATAAACTTCAAAACCAGTCAGGCTTTAAAGCCCACTCTACCTCTGATGACCTGTGTGGTATCAAGTATCTTACTGCCCCATATAAACAGGGGAACAGTAATAATTGCCCATATCTCTGGGTTAGTTCATAGTAAGGAGCCTAGACCCTGGCAGTAGGAGGGCTAGAGACATGTTAACTCCACACTGTTTTCATCAGCCACCCCAAGATGCCTGGGGCAAGGAGGAACAGCTGAACTCAGAAGTGTCCCTCGCTGAGGAAATCACCACTTTAAGAACTGATCCCTTTCCTTTCTCTTGCAGACTGTAGCCCACACTGGCTTGGGGACAGGCATATTCTGTGCTGTCGTTCTAGTCATTGGAGCAGTTGTTCTGGCTGTCTATTCATACTTCCGGCTAAACCAGAGGACAATTGGTTTCCAACGTTTTAGGGTAAGAGAGAGAACTGAAACCATGAGGACAGAGGCTGCCTTCATATGTGTTCTGCTGCCAGACGGGTGGTACACATCTGTACTACCTGTACGCAGCAGGTTGATACAGGAGGATCATAAGCTCCAGGCCAGTCTGAGATACCCAGCAACTTCAAGACAAGCCTGAAGTACATAGCAAGAGCTTCTTTAAAAACAACAACCAAAACCAAACCAAAACAAAACAAAACAAAAAAAACAGAGCTGGGAAGATAGCTGAGTCAGTAAAGTTCTTGCCACACAAGTGTAGGGGCCCGAGTTCAATCCCCAGAACCCACATAGAAAAAGCTGGTACAGTGGCATCTGCTTGTATTCCCAGCATGGGGGTGGGGGGTGTAGAGGCAGATCTTTGAAGTTTGCTGGCCACCCAATCTAGCTAAATTGGTAAACTCCAAGTTCAGTTAGAGACCCTGTCCAAAATGATAATAAGGTAGACAATACCTGAGGAGCAACACCTAAGGGTAGATTCTGACCTCTACATGCACACATATATACAGACAGACAGAAAACATCAGAATTCCTAAGACTAAGTGATTATAAAGAACGCAGGTTTATTGGCTGGGCAGTCTAAGACCAAGGCTGGCATTGGCTTGGCTTCTGGTGAAGGCCTCATGCCACCTTGACTCATGGTAGAATGTTGACTCACAAGCAGGCATGTGTAGAAGCAGCGAAACGCCACAGACAGCCTCACTTTGTACCAAGCCAGTCAGGATGACTTAGACCTGGAAAAGGCAGCACTTGTACCACACAAAAGGCACACACTCAGCTATTTTTACCTCCCACCAGCCACACCTCACGATGGGCTCTGGAGGGAACCCACCTCAGCAGGCCCTCTCCAGCACTCAGCTCCAGACGCTGGGCCACTTCAGAGGCCTCACCAGGAGCTGGTGCTTGACACGGCAGCATCAACAGCTACCCCATGCTCCAGCCTCCTGGGTGGGGGGTCTTTTCCCCCAGGGGACTTAGCAGTGGCAGCTCCAAGCCCCTTTTGCTGGTTGAGACAAGGCTTGGTGAGGAGTGAGGGCTGCCAATGAACAAGCCCACAGCTTCCACATCAAGGGTTTGGCTTGAGACACATTTATCAGGAGCTCAGGAGTGCTGGGAAGATTCTCTAGACAAGTGCCCACCATGGTAGGCCTAGGCTTCAAGACCGAGAATTGGGGACCAGGGTCAGGAACCTGCACAGCCTCATCCCACAGCCAGCAAATCTCATTTCTATTTGTGCTGCTGAATCTACCTCCTATCAGCAGCAAGGGTCTGAGAGCTGGCCCTATGGTCAGTTTTCTATAACTGTGACAAAATACCTAAGACAATCAAGCTATATGGAAGAAGTTTATTTTGGCTCATGGTTTCAGAGGTTTTGGTCACGTTACCCTGGGCCTGTGGTGAGGCAGCACATCATGGGGGTGGGAGCACATGGCAAAGGAAGCTGTTCACCTCATAGTGGCCAGGAAGCAGAAAGGAAGAAGAGCCAGGGTTTCCAAATCCTTTTCTGGGCACACTCTTCAATGACCAAACTTCATCCCACTAGGCCCCACCTCCTAAATATTCTACCATATCCAAAGAATGCCATGGGCTGGGGTTCAATCTTTGACTTCTGAGCCTTGCAGGACATGCATGCAAACCACGATATCCTGGGAACTGGGCTGGGTAGAAGCTTAACAGTCAGGCATCCTTCTTTATGTACTCTGGACTCTTCCCTGGTCCCCTCTCCTGCTGTCCCCTCCTTAGAACATGCCCAGGAAAAGCTGTGCAGTGGCCCCAGGCAATAGTCTATGCCTTCTAACATGTAGTTTTCCGACTGATGCCCAGAGGCAACTCTCAGAAATATTTTTTGTCTGTTTTCTATTACTATAACCAAACATCACAAACTAGAGCATCTACAATGAACAGAAGTCTGTTCAGCCTCATAGATCTGAAGGCTGGGAGGGCCAAGACCAGGGGGCCATACCTGGTAAAGACCTTGCTACAGTGGACTCTGCACAGTTCAGGGCATCACATGGAGTGACACAGCCAAGTCCTAGCTCTGGTGTCTTTTCCTTTTACAAAGCCACAGTCCTGTTGGATTAGTGCCACACTCTGCTGCCTCCTTTAATCTTAACCACCACCCCCAAAGGTCCTATCTGTAAATACCACAGTTGAATTAATTTCTACCCTCCTAATTTTCACAATGGGTTAAATTTCAGCATGAGTTTAGGTGAGAACATTCAAACCATCATTTGTAACAAAACGTAAGCTATACATGACTCCTAAGTTCAGGCAGGGATGGGCCACACCATTCCAGGGTTGGAGGACGACACAGTTACCCTGGATGGAAGTGTTGGCGGTCTGAGCCATGAGAGCACTTCCTAGAGCATGGGAATGCCCTGTGGGCCACTTTGGAGGTCACACCTGGGCAGACACATACCAGCTGTCGCTGAGCACTTGGAACCAGTGCCTTTTATTACATGTCAATCATCTCAACACAGGACTGTTGATAAGAGGTAGAGGTAGGCTGTTGATAAGAGGTAGGCTGCACCTGCCACCAGAAGTGAGCCGCTCTTGCCTCAGGGGCAGTCTTGGCTGTTACAGCTTACGATCTTTCTAAACAGTCAGACGAGGATATCAATGTGGAGGCGTTCAGCAAGCAGCAGCCTGAGAATATCTCAAACCCTATGTACGAGAGTTCGACCTCAGCACCCCCTGAGCCTTCCTGGGACCCCTTCAAGGTGAGTTTGATCTAGGCACGTGTTCAGCTAGGAAGCAGAAGCACGCTGCCTTCCGGCAAATCTCAATGACACTCCCTTCTAGAACCAGTCTCAGACAGCAAGCCTAAAAGGCCCGTTTTCAAGCTAACAGAGGCAGGGTGACTATTCATGGTTCCCAGGGTTCTTGGTAAACAGCAGAAGCCTTGAACCAGAGGCTACCCCACCCCCATCTCATGACCATCTACAAACACTTAGGAGGTAGCAGGAGCAAAGGAAGACATAGGCCTGTAGAAAAGGATTTTCCTTTAGCCTTTCAAACTTAACATTTCCATCAATTCTTCTGCCCATGATCAGAGTTGCTTCTTGCTTGGGGAGAGATCCTTTTGTTTAATGGGGCCTTTTACTGGGTGATATTCTGGTCTGGCCTTCCAAGAAGGAACCTTTTTTCTAGAGCTAGTAAGGCTTGAGCTTAGATGGGGGCTACCCTGACTTTAACCCAGGGTAACCCTGTGGCAGGGCACTCTGTTCACACTAAGTACAGAAGGTCACCTGTTTGCTATTTTTTAATCAGTTCTGGACTGGAAGCTAGGGAAAGGCTTATGTTTTTCCTTATATAATAATCAGAAAACAGCTAGTATGTAGAACGCCCTTGTCTGAGCAGCAGAATGAGCTGACAGCATTCCTCAGGCCATGAAAACATTTGAATCTTGGCCTATAGGGACTAACACTCCTCTAATGCCATATTAACCAAAGCCAGACGCTGGCTGCTTTCAGGTTAGCGTTTAGAGCAAATTATCTGTCCCCTTCCCCCAAAACCAAAATTGTTGAATTTTCATAGGCTGTCACTAAAACACTACAGTTTTCTTGCAAAACAGTATTTTTTTTATATTTTTTTTTTGTCTTTTTTAAGACAGGGTCTCCTTGTAGCCCCAGCTGTCCTGGAACTCGCTATGTAGACCAGGCTGGCCTCGAATTTACAAAGATCTGCCTGCCTCTGCCTCCCAAGTTCTGGGATTAAAAGCTTGTATATTCTGATAGGTGTCACCACCTTTTCTGAAGTAAACCAAGCATCAATGTATCTTGTGGCTTTTAGAGCTTGTAGAGCAGACTGAGTATCTTTGCCATGGATTGAAAGACAACCATGACACAAATTTTCTCAATCTAATCCCAAAATGTCATGTTTACATTTCCACAGTGAGTTCTGCTCGATCATGTCAAGTAACTAGTAAGAGTTTATTTCTGTGAGCATCATTCTATTGAAAATACCATCATTTAAGAAACGGGGAGAGGGTGTCAACCTTGTTCAGCACAGTCCATGCCTTCCTGCCTCTGCTCTTCTCCAAGGACTCTATCAGTCCTACCCATGGAAGCATCACCTGAGGCACAGAGTGTCCTAGAAGCAGGATCCCAGCTAAGCTAGTTCAGACCAAGTGTCCAAAATGTTGCAGGAACAGGAATTCGGAGACCAGGCTACATTCTCCACCTTTATATTGAAGGATGAGGGCACCTGCTACATCTCTGTAGCTAGTACATCGCAAATATCCATGCGTAACCTTTGCTAACATACAGATGCTACTTGCCGAAGCCTGGGTACCACCCAGAGCTGACAGCAGGAGGCTCAGAATGGCCCCCTTAGGGTATGTGGGGATTCTGAGTCAGTCCATTATCCCAAGGCCCAGCATCACTATGGTTCAGTATTTTCATTCTGAAGGAGTTTTTATAACTCTATGACTCACCACTGGCTAAATGTGGTACCTCGCATCTCCCTTGTGAGGTTATATTCCTATGCTGCTGTTAGAGATGAGGAAGGAACGGCAGAGCTGAGGTGATCTGTTGAGGGCCGCTCAGGCAGTAGAGACGGTGTGGCCCCAGTAAGGCCAACCCTAACTACTGCCCACACACCCACGTCCTGCATGAGGCAGCAGCACAAGTGGACATTCCCACCACATACACTCACGAGGAAAAGTCACGCTTGAGGCCTCAGAGCAGAGGCTAAAAGAAATGTTCACTCTAGGAGGATGCAGTAGCAGGGCAATGCCCCCTACTCAGTATTTCACAGTCCCCTCTCTTCCAGGATTCTGACGAACAGCAGCTGGAGAGCAGCGACCCCTTGGGGGCACTGTGAGGGCCAGATGTGAGCAGCCAGCCAGCAGCCACTGCCACGTAGGTCCCTAAGCCATCAAAGTGCCACTGTGAATTCTCAACTTTCAGTTGCCTCTTGGAAACATTGAGTCTCTTAGCATTTTAAGCTATGATACACTCAGAAACTATACCTCATCTCTCTGGTTAAGCTGGGGGTTGTTTCCATGGGTAAGGGGCCACATTACCAAGTCCACCCAGGGGACTTCTACCTCCTCTGAGCCTCTACTGCCCTCCTTTGCACCTTCTAGATGACATGTTATATGCTGCCCTATCCTATGGGTAACTGTGATACTGTTATATTCTCGATTAGATTGTAAGCTCCTGAAGGCAAGGCCTCACCTCACTTACCTTTGTGTCCTAGTATAGTACCTGACACATGAATGTGCGCAATAAATGTTTATAGGACAGAAATGAAGTCATTGTGTGCCTCAGGAGGGGTCAAACTATGAAAGCAAAATTTACTTACCAGGGCTAACTAGAGCCTTTCCGTTTAGCCAACATTTGCTTTATGAATTCTTTCTTTGGTTATGTGTATTTACTTTAGCCATGATAACCTCAATGAGATACCACTGCACACCCAATAGGCCGGTAATGACCAAGGGTCCATAGAAGATAACAAGTATTGGTGAGGATAGGAACTAGAGCCTGTGCTGTTGGAATTAAAATAGTGGAGCTGCTGTGGAAAAAAATGACCGTTCCTCAGAAAGTCAAACAAAATTACTCCATGAGCCAGAACTCCCACTCATAGGTATACACCGAAGAGAATTGAAAGCATGTCCACACAAGACTCACCATATGTGCACAAGGTGACATTACAGCCAAAAGGGGGACCAACCCAAATGTCTATCATCTGATGAATGAACGATTAAACAACAGTCTAGTTATACAACTCATCCCTAAAAGAAAATGAAGTGTTGCTACATGCAACAATGCAGAGGAACCATGACAGCAATATTGTTTCTGTCTCCCTCTTTCTTCCCTCTTCCCTTCTTCCCCTCCTCCCTATATAGCCCAGGCTGGCCTTGAACTCTGCATTCCCCTGCCTTAGCCTCTGAAGGGCTGGAGTCATAGGCATATGCTGCCATACCCAGCTGTGCTAAAATTTCTTCTTGAGATTGGGGGTTTGGGATGGGGGAGGAAAAACTTCAAAACCATCTATCACATTTTTACAGCTAACAAGTTGAGATCCAGAGAGCCTGTGAGCCGCCTCAGGTGACACTACTTGCTGGGGTTTGGGTAGAAGAACTGAGGTTCTTCCCACCACAAGTTCACCTTGGTGGATTTGGGATATGGACTTCAATGTTGTGTAAAATCTTGATTCTTGCTCCCTGTCCCTATGGAAAATGGCCCACAATTTTATCATGCTTCTCTCAGTTTAACAACCATTACTGTAATGATCAAGTACCTTCCAATCCACCCACTTCACTACCTACTTTCTAGTTATCGACAGGACCCAGCTAGCTGGAGAATCACTGCTGGGGACTGAATGGAAAGCTGAGCTGAACAGACCTCGGGCTCTCTTCTCTGTTGCCCCTCACAGCCCACATCACCTTATTCCACATCAGGGGGTGGCTGAGTCAAGTTCAAAGTTCTAGAAGCCACAAAACATCTTGTAAACGCTCTCTCAACTCCAGGAAGGTGAAAGCAGCCCCAGTCTAGGCAGAGGGACAGTTTTAGCATTCTTTGGGACAACATGCCGCATTTCTAGGATATCCAAAAGAAAGAATGTGGGACTTCACTAATGAGTCCCCAACATCTACCATCACAGAGCAGAAATATAAGTAATCAAAGGGCAGGGATGGGAGATCCACAGGGGTTATGAAGGAGGCTGTGTACAGCACAGTGTGAGGTAAGGGCTCTAGACCCTAAACACACACATTTTTAAAGTGTAAAAATTAAGTGCATAAGTATTTATACATTTATCCAAAACTAGCAGTGAGTTTTCTTAACACTCCTAGCTTGATACTTCCTTTTCTTAACAGATTCCCAGCTTTTCCTGGTAAAAAGAGGAGTGCCGAGTGCCATATCAGTCAGCACTCCCGGCATTAGCATGTACAAGCAGGTGAACCTCCACTTCTCGCTCTCTAGGACACCAGTCCCTCTGGGAGGGCACAGGTCAACTGCCATCTGCTAGAGGCAGAGCTCACAGAGTTTCTGTCTGTGACTCACCCTGTCTTCAAGCTCTAGAAGCAACTTAAAATTTACCTTTTCTCTCAATATCCTTTGTGGGTCCATTAGATTGTTTATATGTTTCTTTTGGTGGGGGGATAAACAGGATCTCACTATGTAGCTTTGGCAGCTGGCCTTGAACAGTGATCCACTTGCTTCTACTTCCTAGTGCTGGGATTAAAGGCATGTACCACCATGCCCAGATATATTTCTTTTGAAGTACCAGGAATCAAACCCAGGGCCTCATACATGCTAGGTAAGCACTCTATCAATGAGCTAGACTCCCAATTCTAGATTTAAATTTTTTTTCCTTTTCTTTAGTAGAAATACCCTCAAGTGCTGGAGGGAAATGTGTTTAGAAAACAACACCATGGACTCAGAATTTAACATGGCTTTGCCACTGGCTTAAAGTACATAAAATAGATGATGTAACAACAAAACAGAAGGTACAATTCAAACTTTTATTTGGCTATAAGTTCATCATCACTTAACACATAAAATCAACATGTAGAATAAATAAATTAACATTCAGAATAAATAGTAAGCCTACGTAGTTTGCATTTATCATGCCTGATACCATATAGGCACAATCTGTCATTACACTACACAATTAGGAAAGAGTCCTACATGGGAGTTCAAGCCCGCACTAACAGAAACACAGAAGCACTGTCACGGGGCGGGGGGCACGCACATGCACAAAGACCTTCAGCAGAGTGTGGCTGGGATCACCACTTGGAAGGGGAAGAGAAGGACAGGAAGGGAAGAGCACAGGACTGGCAGGGCAGGTCCTGGGCTACAATGCAGGGACAAGGAGGTCTTGCTGACCTCACAGGGACCTCTGGAGTTGGAGGGCTCTTCAAGGCTGTCCCAAACTGGGGTTGGTGAGGGCCTTTATCTCCATATGGAACGATCATGAGTTATTCACTTCCAGGAAGAGCTGTACATTGGGAGAAACCCAAAGGGGAGTGACAAGTCAGCCAGCAGCAGTCCCAGAGCATGTCCTTCAGTCCTCAGCCCAGCACCCAACGCTGGGACAGTTGCAGGTCCAGTCCATGCAATGAGGCATTTGGCAGCTACTGGAAACCTGGTATTTTACCACTGGACATATAGGGAAATCACCCAGACAGTGGCTCTTAAGGGAACAGAGCACATTTACCTACAGACCTTACACTAGCTACACCTGAGCTATGAGATCACTCCTCCAGTGCTCCCAGCAAATTAATCTTGCCATCTATAACCACAGCCAGGACCCAATCCACCCCACAAATCACAATGGAACACAGGATGTCTATTCCTACAGGGGAAGCAATAGTGAATGGCCTGCAAGGCTGAAAATGGTACCTATTTGGCCCTTTCAGGGACACATCTCTGACCCTAATTAGAGGAACTTCACTCCTCTCCCTTCCCTATGCTTAACCCATCAGTGATCTCAAAGGTTACCTGAATTTAAAAACTCAGCTCCCAAATATTAAGGCCAAAAATAAAAGGTGAGGGGAAGAAAAGGAAGTCAATATTAAGAGGGGAAAGCATGGGCTCCCCAGCAGTTGAACAGAACAATCAAGGAACACTGCACCTGGCCAAATTTAGTCTCTGAGCATTCTAGACAAGAGCCTCCAAGTGGGTATCTAGCAGCAAATAAGCATTTTGGCAAAGTGAGATTCCAATGTTTAGCACTTTCCGCTGCTTAAAATCTTACTGAGAGGAGGAGAGGGGAAAAGACATTTAATTCACCCAAAGCTAAATTAGGTAGGAGGCAAGATTGCTTTTCATTCTCCCTTGCAATAATTAATAGGGTGGACACATTCAAAGCAACTAGTAATTTAGTCTGAGATATGCTCGAATCAGTAGCTGGTGCATTAATGGTGAAAACAGGGAAGACAGACAGACAAGAAGAAAGGAGGGAAGGGGAAGGGGAAAAAGGGAGGAGAGAGGTGAAGAAGGGGGACAGAGAGTCAAAGATAAAGACAGAACATGAGCATGTTAGGAAGAAAGCAAGAACTTCAAGCCAAAGACCTAAGATATTTTTAAAGCTGGCTTTCCCTGCAAAAGCAACTCTGGGGGAAAAAAATCAGCAGTGCAAATTGCTTTTGAGTGGGTACCTTGCTGGTACCATGAGCCTTGCTGGACTATCGCACTGGCACAGATTGCTCTTAGACTATGAATTTTTGTTCACATAAGTCTTAGAAAGTCAGTCTAAGCAATGTTTTTTAAAAGTTTTTTTAATATTAAAACTAATTTTATTCTGTTTGCTTTACAAATTGATTTTTTTTTAATGGGAGAAAACAGATTCACTTCCCTTTTACCAATATATTGTGTCATCAGTATGCACACAGACAAACCAGAAAAAACAAGCTGACCAGTGCAAAAGACCTGATCCCAGCCGAAACAAGCAACAAGTCAAAACCTGTCTTGACTGAGCCAGACATGGACAAGTAACAAAATGGGAAAATGTCCTGACCCTTCCTACAAGAATGCTACACTGGGAAAGACCATAAGCAAAACTTTTCCAGAACCCAAAATGCATTCAGTGCTAGATGCTGCACTATGGAACATTAGAACATTAGAACCAACCACTGTGTCAAACCTAGTGATTTCCTCTTTCACCCTCTTATCCAGGATGGATCTAAAACCCTTCTTTTCCCTCTATGATAACATAGGTCAGAACATTCTGTACCATTAACAACCCCGAGAAATGGGTTTGTTCTACTGCCCGAGTCCTGATGGTATCAACTGCTTCAGTCCTGGCTCTGATGGAAAACGTGATGGATTACAGAAAACCAGATTAGGAAGCAGCGGCACAGGGTTTTGTATGTCAGATTCATCATGACTAGTCATCCATCCCCTAATAATTATGCTTAGGCCTCGATTTGCAAGCTGTTGATGAATCCACTTCACTTTTTAGATATACACCCTGGCTCTAGTCACCAGCTTGGTCAGAAACTGACTGAGGTAGGAAAGAAACACAGCAGGGTGCCAGCCAAGGGGTCAGGGAGGAGGGAGGTCTTTCAAGATCTTTACAAAGCCCTCAGGTGCAATGGTTCCCTTGTGTTTTGAGGTGCCAGTCCTGAGAATTCATACCTATTTGCAGAGAGATACTGACTGAATGCACTTCATATCATCAGGCTGGGGCTACTGCAATAATGATAAAGCCCATACTGGTGGCATGTATGTGATCTACCAAATCATCTATGGCTAAACCTGCTTCAAACAGGCCAAGATTTCTCAAACCCATTCCTCAGCCTTCACCTGCTAACACTTTTACTAGTGTCAATCAAACTGGTGGCGGTTTCACAGACCATGAGGGTATTATGTGCTGCCACGGATTTCAGCATGATCTATCTTTATGCTTATATGTGGTGGTGCTGCTATTCTTCTAGGAAGAATGAAAAGATCATTACAACAAACCCACAGCCAACATCATTCTAAATGGAGAGACACTGGAAGCATTCCCATTAAAATCATGACCCAGAAAAACCTGCCCACTATCTCTACTCCTTTTCAATATAGTGCTTGAAACTCTTCCTAGAGCAATAAGACAAGGAAATTAAAGGAGTACTAATGGGAAAAGAAGAGGTCTAATTATACCTATTTGCAGTATGAGATACCAAAAATTCCATCAGAAAGCTTCTAGAAATGATCACATTTTCAGCAAAGTGGCAAGTTACAAAATCAATTTACAGAAATCAGTAGCCTTTCTAAATACCAATAACAAGCAATTAGAGAAAAAGGTTCATGGAAACCCTTCCATTCACAAAAGCCTCAAAAAAACTAGAAATAAACTTAACCAAAGGCATTAAAGATCTCTAAAATGAAAATTTTAAATCTTTGAAGAGACTGAGGAAGACACAAGGAGATGGAAGGACCTCCCATGCTCATGGACTGGTAGAATTAATATTGTGAAAATGACCATCCTACCAAACACAATCTATAGATTCAATGCAATGCCAATCAAAATCCCCATGACATACTTCACAGAATTGGAAAAAAAATCCTAAAATTCATAAGGAATCACAAAGTCCCCTAAATAGCCAAACTTGAGCACAAAGAGCAGTGCTGGAGGGATTACTATACCAGATCTCAAACTATATTACAAAGATATAGTCATAAAAACAGCATAGAACTGGCACAAAAACAGACACGTAGATCAATGGAACAAAACAGAAAACCCCAACAATGAGTGCATGCAATTTCAGCCATCTGATATTTGACAAAGGTGCCAAAAACACACAATGGAGGAAAGACAGCATCTTCAACAAATGGTGCTGGCAAAACTGGATCTCCACCTGTAGAAAAATGAAATTAAACCCTTCCTTTCATCCTGCACAAAGGTCAATTCCAAATGCATCAAAGACCTCAATATGAAACCTGAAACTCTGAAACTGCTAGAAGAAAGCATAGTCAGTACCCAGATACAGGTGTAGGAAAGGACTTTCTAAATCAAACATCAGTTGCTCAGGAATTAAGGTCAACAATCAACAAGTGGGACCTCATTAAGCTAAAAAGCTTCTGTACAGCAAAAGAAACAACCAAAAAGAGGAAACCCACAGAGTGGGAGAAAATCTTTACCAGCTACACAACCAAAGAGGATTAATATCCAGAATACACAAAGAACTCAAAAAACAAAGAATCAAGAAAACAAATGACCCAATTATAAGATGGACTACAGATCTGAACAGAGTTCTCTAAAGAAGGAATTAAAATGGCTAACACCTTAAAAAGTGTTCAACATTCTCAGTAATTAGGGAAATGCAAATCAAAACTACTTTATCTTCTTACCCCAGTCAGAATGGCTCACCAAATAAACACTCATCCACTGCTGGTGGAATTGCAAACTCATGTAGCCACTATGGAAAGCAGTATGAAGAACTCTTAAACAACTCAAAATAGGGGCTTGGAGAGATGGCTCAGCAGTTAAGAACACTGGTTGTTCTTGCAGAAGACCCGGGTTCGATCCCAGAACCCACATGGCAGCTAACAACTGTCCGTAACTCCAGTCCCAGGGAATCCAATAGCCTCTTCTGACCTCTGCGGGCAATGAACGACACAGGTGCACTTATCTACAAGCAGGCAATACATGTGTACACATTAAAAAAAAAAAAAAAAAAAAAAAAAAAACCCTCAAAATAAATCTACCACATGATCTGGTTATACCACTCCATGGCATATACCCAAAGGATTCATCCCACTGCAGAGGTACTTGTACATCCATGTTTGTTGCAGCTTTCTTCACAACAGCTAAGAAATGGAAACAATCTACATGTCCTGCAACTGAAAAATGGATAATGAAAATGTGGTACTTTACACAATGGAGTTCTACTCAGCAGTTAAAAAAAAAAAATGAAATCATGAAATTTGCAGGTAAATGGATGGAAGTAGAAACTGTTATACTACGTGAAATAACACAGAGTAATGTTTTCCATCATTTGTGGATCTTAGCACAAATCCCTTATATGTGAGCATATATCCTGATGTAACTGCAGTAGTATTCAACTGGGAAGGGAGGAGAGAAGGACATACGAGGAACCATGGGATTAAAGGGTAAGAAGGAGCTCAAAAGAGGGGATAAATTATCAAGGAAAAAATGGGAGTATTTTAACTGGGGAGAGACGAAGGAGGGTTAGAAAGGAAGAGAGATAGATAAATAATGCGCAGGTGGTGTGAAAACCCAGAGGACTATGTATTAGTTCAAAAGCCTACTGAAAAATACACATACAATATCTCTACATGAGTGCATGTGTACAGCTGAAGGCTATGGAACAAGAAACAGTGCCGGACAGGAGAAACTTCCCTTTGACTTGTCGCTCAGGGTAGTCCAAGAGACTTCCTAAATAACACAGGCTATTGCCACAGTCCTTGATTATGTCCCAGAACTTGAAGGGAAGACCTTATTGGTGAAGACAGGGCATACTTTGAACACAGGACTTGGAGCAATGGCGCTGGAAATGACCTGGAAACTTCCTCTCTGAAGACTGGTTCTCATACTTTTACAGAACACTATGCAAGCTGCTAGATGAGAAAAATCAATCAACGGCCCAACCCCAGCTTTAAAATCTAACAACCACAACAATGATTGTACAACAAACCATATCGGTGCAGTACTGGCACTTTTATCTTGGGGTAATCTAATTGGACTTAAGTCCCGCTAAATGGGAAAGAACTCATGTGTGGTAATATAAAAATAGCCAAATACACATGGCTGGAGAGGTCATAAAGCCTAGAGAAAACCCTACCTCTGTCACATCCCTAGACAAATGAAATTTCTTACTGTATGCTAAACATGTATCCTTATATTTACAGACAAGTACACGATACACCAGTCATTGAAGAAGCTCCTTTCTATGACAAATGGAGACTATGACAAAATTCTACAACTGGTGACACACAGAGAACAAGTGTGAGATACCCAGCCCTAAGTGACACATCTACAATGAAACTTCAATACCTAAGGTTCATGAAACATAATGGAACAGGGAGTAGAGAGAATACCAGTGCATCTCTAAACTCTCACTAGTGAAACTTCCTCAAGCAACAGAGGGCAATGAACACAGAAGGCCACAACTGGCCAAAGTGTAGCGAACAAGAGACTGTAAAGTGTGTGTCCCTGGTTAGGACTCCTATATTAAACCTTACCCACTCAGGGCTCAGGGACCATTGCAGAAGAAGAGGCAGAAAGATTTTAAGAACCAGGGGTGGTGCATGACCATAAGGAAACAGAGACTTCTAGGCTTCTGGGAACTTGCTCATATGACTTGCAGCATTGGTACAGCATACACAAGACCCATGAAAACTCAATCAGACAAAAATCAGCATAGAGCTGGGGAAATGGGCAGGAGGCCCTAATCTTAGCCAAGGAACTAATGGCAGTTGATCACTGCTGGATGAGGGCATCATCTTCTTTAAATGAGTGATGACAGATAGGATGAACAGGCTCCAGTGAATGAACTTACACAAAGGGACATCTGAGTATACAAACTGGACTTGACAAGCCTTAACATATATGACAGAATGCTTGAAATCCTATGGGCAGGCTGTGGGGAGGGTGTCTAAATATGATTAAGCTGTATTGTATGAAATGCACAAAACTTCAATAAAAAATATACATTGAGCCAGGCACGGTGGCGCACGCCTTTAATCCCAACACTCGGGAGGCAGAGGCAGGCGGATCTCTATGAGTTCAAGGCCAGCCTGGTCTACATAGTGAGTTCCAGGACAGCTGGGGCTACAGGGAGACCCTGTCTCAAAAAGACCAAAAAAAATACACACATACACACACACACACACACACTGGAAAAAAGACTGCTAGACTGAGCCATGTACTAACATGCCATGGCTTTGCAGCATTCCAGACACATGCCTGGTGGGCCCTGGTACAGGTGATGCCAGACCTCCTCCATCAGGCCAATCCCCCACCATGTGGCCAATCACTACCAAGCTCAGTGACCCCAAAGACTGAGACCCTCCTATACAAGAATAGATTGTAAAATGAATAGATTGTAAAACGAATGGTAAAAGAATAGATTGTAAAATTCAGCTGGGCATGGTGGCGCACGCCTTTAATCTCAGAAGAGGCAGAGGCAGGTGGATCTCTGTGAGTTCAAGGCCAACCTGGTATACATAGTGAATTCCAGGCCAGCTGGGGCTACAGAGAGACCCTGTCTCAAAAAAAAAAAAAAAAAAAAAAATTCATGACTCATACCCAGAATGGCCTACGTCTCTTGACTCTCCTCCATGGCCTACGTCTCCTTAGGCATTGAGAGCATAGTTCTATCTCATTCTCTAGTAAACAGAACACCCTGTAACTGGCATCTAGTCCATCAAGGAGGACCTGATTAGACTAAGAATTTTTTTTCAGCTTCTTCGCCGTGCTTCTCTAAAGCAGAAATTGTGGGCCTCCAGAGCACTGTGCATCCTTTTGAGACCCCAACACTGAGTAGTGCTGAGCATCATGTGCCAGCATTAGATGCCAGCTGTCCTGCTGGGTAAGAAGACACCAGGGAACAAGCAACACAAAATGCCCACCCTGTTCTGAAGATGAGACTACTGTACCCTACTGTGTTTAGAATGCAGCAGAGGAGGAGGAAAGGCTCTAAAGGGTCACCTTTGCTGTGATGATTAACACAAGAGAAGGTCAGAAGATCCTGTGGTAACTGGGTGCTACAATGGATGCTGCACAGCTTATTAACTCCTGCATTTTGGCGGGCAGCCTACAGAAGGCCAAGCCAGCATTCCATCGATAGCTGCTTTTCAATCTACTCACTACAGTAAAAATGCCAAATAAGCAAGCACTCACCATAAGCCTCCTTCAAACTCACCGTTCTTTAGATTACATATATGCCACACCAGACATAACAGTGTTCCTGGGATTCAGCACTCAGGAGGCTGAGGTAAGAGGATCTCAAGTCCAAGGCCAGCCTAGGCTCCATGGCAAGACCCCATCTGAAGAAAAACGAGGGGAAAAAAAAAACCAAAATGAACATAGGCCACATTAGAGCAAAAGCTTAAAATGAGTCTGGCAATCTGAGAGAGGCTGCTCCAACCACAGCACTTGCACAGCACAGCTTTGCGGAGAAAACACCATTAGCAGGACCGTGACTACTGTCAGCAGACATTACAGCACTTGGAGAACACAGGCAATATGCTGAGGTCACAAAGGACTCTATCTTGAGTTCAAGCCACTGCAAATACAGACATGCTAAAAGAATCTTCCCTCCAGAGAGGGAAAGGAAGATGCACTCAGGCCTGGCTCGCAGAACGAAATGAGAAAAGCTCCTCTGGCAAATCTTCTAAACATCAACTGCCATGTGCCCGCTCACAGCTTTGCACTAGCACAGACTGAGCACTAAGACTCTGTGTCTCTCCTTGTCTCACTTGACAATGACAGACCTACCAGCTGAGCGACAATTTTAACGAGAGCACCTGTCTCCTCGGCCCCTTCCCCAAGGAAAAGGGCACCTGCCCATCACTTGATCACCAGCATGGGGCAGGGTAGCAACAGACTGAGAACAAAGGCTTCCTGTTCTTTTTCAAGAAAGTCCTTCCAGGGAGGCTGCATCCTCTCAGAGCAATGCGTCAGAAAGTCTGCTAAAGCCTAAGGACCAGAAGACCTGGGAACTGGCAGCCATGGGGCTCATATCTGCCTCTGCAAACTCGCTGTCTTTGTATGTTACTGTTCCCCTGTTCAGTGTCTTTGCATAGCACTGTTCCAATGCTCTGCTTGTAAACAACCAAGAAATGTTTCACAGAAGAGTCTAGAACTATTTCCACCCTTGACGTGCTGAAGAGAGATGCCATCAAGTGGGCTCACCTGTCCCAGAAGGCCTGACACTGGCTCTGCAGTAAATGAGGCTGCATCAGTTTCAACATTTGGCCTCTGTATGGAAGAAGGCCAGGCCGCAGGTAGCTAGCTCCTGTCAACCTGGGCATATTCTCCCCAGGGTAGAAAATGAACATCAAAAGACGTACTTGACTCTTCAGAAAGCAGCTCTCAGACCCACTTAAAGTGACCTTGTCAAGTTCACCTGTGGCTGCTTCTGGCTTTTTCTTTGGACAGACACAGGATTACTTGGCCTGGGCCTCCTGCAGCACAGGCGCTCTGAAGGCGGAGGGGCTGTCCGACCAGGCAGGGAGCTCGTGCTGCAGGGGAGTCCTCCTGGGGTAAAACGTGTGATGGACGTCGTAGTTCAGGAGGCAGCTCAGAGATGCCATGTAGATGTCAGCGAATCGCGACAGGCGCCTCAGGAAGTAGGTCGGATTCTGGTCAGTGCGGAACAAGCTCCCGAACTGGGCATTGAAGAAGCTTTTGGTCATTTCTCTGAAGCAGCAAGAAAAAAAAGAGAAAGGTTTTAAAAGGTTTGTATTTTTTCTAAACTACTGACATAAATATCTCGTTATAAACACATGTACATATGAACAACACTAAATGGACTCAGGAGACTTTTATATATGTATGTATGCATGTATGTATATGTAATAAGAGGCCATAAATTTGAGGGGGGAGTCATAGGAAGAGTTGGAGGGGGAGAGGGAGGAGTGGAAATACTGTAAATATAGTACTTGTATGAAAGTCTCAAAAAACAAAAAATTTAAATTTATTAAAAAAATATATTGGAGAGAAAAATTAGTCAATTAGTCAAGAAAAACCCTAACTTCCAATCAAAAAAGCAAGTAAGCCAGGTGTGGTAACCCACACTGTAATCTCAGCACTGGGAAGGCATAGTCTGGAAGATCCCCAAAAGTTCAGTGCCTTCCCACAACGGGACAAAGATCACCCACACCTACCACCACCTCCAAAGCTCAGGGACTTTTGCAGAAGAGGTTGGCGGAAAGAATGTAAGAGCCGGAGGAATGGGTGGAGTGTTAACTGGAAGTGTCCTCTGACCACTATGCCGGCAAGCTATAGTCACACCTCCTTCCCATGCTCGTCAAGGAGAGGGAACTCGGTTACCCCGCCTACTCAGATGACTTTAGCTTCATGTGGGGGAGGGGCTAAGGACATATAAGCCAAGAATGCCAGGAGGCACCTCTCACCATTTTCTGTGACTGTCAGGAAGTCACTGAATCTATATTTGACTGTGGACTTTCCAGTGCAGCAGTAAATGGGGGCACCTAATCCTCTGTAAATAAACCCCCACCCTATGCTCAAAAAAAAAAAAAAAGAAAAGAAAAGAAAATCTGCCCATTCATCTCTCAAATGACCCCAGTCACATGCCTCCCCTCTTATGCCAGCTGAAGCACTTCTTCAAGCCTCCAGTGCCCATCACACGTCCCATGCCCTCTATAGATACACATCTTTTCCCAGAGTTAATCAGTGCAGGCAGAGCTGTTCTGAAGGTATTGAGATATGAAGAAAGTTCTCAGTGTTGCTAAACCACCTTTTATTAACAAGGTTGTGGTAAGAACTAAGCAAGGCAGAGAAATCAATGTACTATAAATGCTCAAGTTCTCTCACACCTGAGGAATTACGGAATATTGTTAATCACCACCAAGTGCTCACCTTCCACCCAGCCTAGTTCACATCTTCAAAGTCATTCACCCTAGCCAAGGAGGTTGGCTCCTGCAATTGAACCTCTGCATTCTTCTCTTAATATCCTATCATACATACAAGGGACAAGAATACCATGTGATAGCTGAGATCCTACACATAGACTAGTCCAGCAAAATGAACAATACCATTTGAATGGTGTTAAATCAATTACAAATAAAGCAAAGGTATAATTCTTTGTACAACTGTGCGATAAAAGCCCTCCTTGGTAGAAGTTGTCTGTTATCACTGGGGAATGACAGATACAACAAAGAAATACTAAAAGATTTTTAAAGTCCAATTAGGTCTCTATGGGTGAACAACATAAATGATGTTAAACCTTTTACTGTAACATCACATTAAGATGCGGAAATGTTAGAGACTTGAAGCCAACAGGAACTCTCTGGCAGAAGTGCTTCCTTTGAGTCTCCTGAGGTTCTCAGAAGTGAGCAATGCGGTCACTGTCGGCCCCAGGCCTTCGGGAGCAAGGCCCTGAAGTCAAATCACTTTATCTCCCTCCTCTACACTTTCCTCTACCCTATATTTTTACAGCAGCAGAAATCAAGTCAAAATAAGCCTTGGTCAGCCAAGAGTCTGAGACCAAGGGGTAAGGATGGAACTCAATATAGGCTTGGCTTCTGCAGAACCCCCACAAAATCCCCATCAAGTCAGGCCGCCATTGCTTAGGGGCCAGAAGCCCAGGCAGTTTTCAAATCTTGGGCTCTGTTGGGACATAGGGACAGCCCTGCACTAGAGTGGCTGTGTTTATGCAGTATGAAATCATCCTTCTCAGGGAAGGGTGGATGTCACCAGGGCCCCTGTGCACAACTAACTGTTCCCTACGTACATGTCTTATGAAACTTTTCTGACAACAGGCAGGCTTTCTTTACCAAGAAAGGCTGCGTGCACATTCCTGAAACAGCCGTGCAACATACCAGGGTTGCAGGAGCCCTGAGAATTCCTATGTATCTACAGCACAGCCCCAACAGCCACATCCGCTGCCAGCTATCAACTGGGCCACCAGCAGCCCAATGGAGCAGTTGAAGCAGGGAGGAGAAAAGAGAAGGAAAAGCTCGCCTCCCTCAAGGCCTTCAACAGCAAATGCAGACAATGCATGATGATCATAGCTGGCTTTGAGGAAATGCCAGGAGTCACCAGCAGCAGAGAACTAATCCTGGGTATTTGGGAGCTAAAAGAAAGAATGCTTCCCAACAATGCCTCAGAAGACGTGCATGGAGCAGGACAGTGGATGCAGGTGCAGAACAGGTCTCTCTTACCTCATCTCCTTCCTCTCCTTTTTCCACTCCTGCAAAACCAGCTGCGACTCAGCATCTCTGTAAACCTGCAGGACATTAGCCAACAGTTACTATGGCTTTGGTTTCAAACAAACTCATCAGCAGTGAGAATTTCTCTTTTATTTACTTTTGTATGCATGAACATTTCCTGCCTGTATGTAAGTGCACCTGGGCATACAATGTCTCAGAAGCAAGAGAGAGCATCAAATCCCCTGAAACTGAAGTTACAAACAGTTGTCAGCTGCTATGTGGGTGCTGGGAACCAAACCCAGGTCCTCTGCAAAAATAGCCAGTACTTTTAACTGCTGAGCCATCTCTCCAGCCCCAGAAGTGAGAACTTCTTTCTCCCCACCCCACCCCACTTTCTCTTTTTTGAGACAAGGTCTCCCTACAGCCACAGATTGTCAAAAACTTCCTGTGTAGACCAGGCTGGCTTCAAACTCACAGAGATCCACCTGCTTCTGTTTTCTGAGTGATTAAAGGTGTGTGCCACCACACCCTGCAAGAAGTGAGAATTTCTTGCACCTTTTCTTGAAGGAATTTTACTCCTTAAGTGTAATTTACAGGAATTTGTGTAAAATAATATATTCCCAACTGAAATCCTATGTTCCTGATAAATACACAGAAGAGCTTTACATGTCCATCATTAGAAACCTAGCGAGATGACTCTCAGCAGGTAAAGATGCTCGCCTCAGAAGCATCATAACCTGAGTTGGATCCCTGGTCCACAGGGTTGCGCTGTTTGGGAGGTCTTAGAAGGTGTAGCCACACTGGAGGAAGCATGTCACTGAGGGCAGGCTTAGGAAAGTTAAGCCTTTCCAGACCTCGAGTTGCTCTCTGCTTCCTGTGCCTGCTTGACGGTGTGAGCCTCTACTTTTGCTCCTACTCCAGCCACCTCTGCCACACACTCCTCAACCATTAAATATTTTTTTGTAGGTCAGAAACAAAAATAAAACAAAACATTCCCAAGCTAAATGTAATGCTACCATCAATCTACACACAGGTCATTTGTATATTTGATCAGCTGCTACAGTCACAGAAAAAAATACAAGTCAGGCAGGTATCTCTTATCCTCAGGGGATAAATCTCAAAACTCCCTGTGGGTGCCTAAAACCTCAGACAGTACCAAACCCTAAATATATTTTTCCTACATATGCATACCTATGACAAAGCTCAATTTATAAATCACAAAATAAGAGATTAATAACTAATAATAGAACAGAATAATTAGAACAGTATACCATAAAGCAACAAGCACCTTAGGGTGGCAGTGCAAAGCCCTCTCCCAAGGCCTAAGTAAGAGTCTCACCATGTCATCATGATTTCACACGTTACTAACCTCTCAAAACCCAGTTTCCTTATTCTACAATGAAGGAATTGTACCTGCACGCATGGTATAATTGACTATTAACTGGATACTGTGCATAGTGCAAGCGCTCAGCACAATGTTGGGCACATAAGGAAAAACTATTAGCGCTGGCTGGCCCAGGCACAGACTCAGCTGCATTAACACACAAGTGACATCTGATATTTTTAGAAAATCATCTCACAGGCATAGTAAAAGAAGCAAAACAAGTCCTGAGCAGAGGAGCCAAGAACCAGGATTCGAGAGCCTACCGGAAGCCAGGTCCAGAGGACGTGCGGGGCCCCATGCTCTGGAATGTGCAGGCTGAGAGAGAGGACAAGGCCTGATCGTCTCAAAGCTCGGCAGGGGCAGCTGTGGGCAACAGGCCATGACCAAAGGCTGCAGGTGTGCCAGCCAACAGATCAGGCATCTGCGCCACTTAACCTAAAAGCATCTGCACTCGCCCACACAGCATGGTAGACAAGCTGCACAAAGGGAGCATACGGGTGGCTCTTGAGAGGTGAAGAGGGCCCTCACAATGGTCACTGGAGCAACAGAGGCGAGCTTCTGGGCCAGGAAACGAGCTATGCCAAGGACATTCCTTCCTAACTGCCCCAGCTGACTTTCGGAAAGAGGCAGCTGCCACTGCACTCCGGAGAGCAGCAAATCACATCATTGGAGGCTGGACCAGGACCTTGACTCTTGCTTTACAACTCTTTTCAGGAAGCAATGGTGCCTAGACTGGGGTATTCATTCATTCCACAGAACTCTTCGTTTTACAGGTAGGGAAACTGAAGCCAGCACAGAGAAGTCCTACAGCAAACTAAGAACCAGGACTGGTCTCTAACCATGACAGGGTCTCCAATCCCACTACTCCAGAGGGCAGCTGAGCATGACTGAATGTGGACTGAAGGAGAGCACCCACGTTTATGGACTCTGCAAAGACACTCCAAATGACTCCTGGAAACATTTTTAAATGTCATATCAAGGGAAAGAGCAAAATAATCCCTAGTTATTTTATAGTCTGCTGAGGACAACTTAAACCTTATACTTTATCATTGTAATTGAGTAGAACACTCATGACATTTTGATCAGTGATTACCTTTAGGCTTAATGAAAAAGTGAGAGAGAAAAAACAATCGCGAACCTGCATCTGTTCCAAGAGCCCAGTCAAGGTCTGCAGCCAGGTCATAGTCTGAATGTACTGCTCTGTGTTCATGATTCTGAGCTCGGACCGCAGCTCAGGGATGATCGCACCAGTCCGCCAGCCATGCTTCAGTGTCAGATCCTGCTCACAAAGGCCACAGGGCACCAGCATCAGTCTCTTCAGAACTCAAGCATTTCTACCCTTCCCAGACAAGGGAGGCATTTGCTTAATCACTTTTTAATTGTAATGGTTAGTTATTAACCAAATCGCATTCAATGAATTACACTTAATTAAAACCAATTTGGCCCCAGGCTTTGACCATTTCACCCAGAGAAAGTTTCTGTTCTGGAAATAATGGTTGTGATTCACAGCTGCTGCAGAAACATGGGGTATGGAATCATTAACCATGGTCTGGGACAGAAGGCGCTTAACCTGAACACTAGCACTGCTCCTCATTCAAACTGAGTAGGGGTACACTGGGAATTCTAGAACCTCATAGTCCCAGCACTCTGTCAGGAGTTCCAGGCCAGTAATGGCTGGCTACATAGTGATTTCAAGGCCAGCCTAACCTACCCACGAGAACTTGTCTTTAAGAAACAGATAAAACGGATAAAAATGGCCAAGACTATAGCCCACTGGTAGTGTTTGTCTGGCATGCACAAGGACTTGAGTTCGATTCCTGCTACTGTATATGTGTATCAAGACTGCAGCGTTCCCTGGACCTGTGGGGTATGGCCATCTGGGTTACAGGGTCACAGAAGCCGAGGTGTGGAATGATCACATAACACAAACAGGCGTGGCTGCATTTTTCATTCCACACGTTATAACCCAGTGATGTCACAACAGGCCAGGGTATCAGTTTTGCTGTGGGAAATCCAAGATATGCAATCACAGTACTAAACAGTCATCCACTTTCTTACTTGGCAAACATTTATCAAGCACTATTTTGCACTAGATACTAATGTTAAGCAATGAACAAAAGCTGGAAAATCTCTGCCTTCAAAGAAAATATGAACAGGGCTAGGGATGCAGCTCAATGGTAGAATGCTTGCCTAGCATGCACGGAGCCCTCAATTCAATCCCAGTCTTACAAAAAATAAAGGAGGAGGAGGAAGGCGGGAAAAGGAGGGAAGGAGAGAGGGAGGGAGGAGGAGATACAGACAACAAGCAAGCAAGTAAACAACAGCAAGGACAAACTCCGACCAAAATGAGAAGAAAAGAAGGCAGGCAGGTCATCCTTGTACAGACCAGGCAGACCAGACTAACAAAGGGATATAGGAGCAGAGATATGATGGGAAGGAGGATATAAAAGTAAGCAAGGGCCAACCTGGGACACATAAAACCATGTTTCAAAAAAGGAAAAAAAAAAAAAAAAGAAAGAAGAAAATGAATTCAAGGAAAAGATATCAATACAACTATAATCAAAAGGGGGCACAGTAGCCATATTAATAGCCCATAAAATGGACTTTAAGTCAAAAGCTATTCTGAGACAAACTATAATGATAAAGGGTTAATTCATGAAGAATATAGAATACATGTGTGCATGTACACACATTCACCAAATATCCTATTTCCAAAATACATGACACAAACAGTAATAAAAACCAAGGGAGGAATAAACCCCTCTACAATAACAGCAACTCAACTTCTTGAGTGGGTGAAACAACACGGAAGATCAATCAGAAAACAGAAGATCTGAACACCACCACAGACCAATTGGACCTGGCAGACAGAGACAGACTCTACCACCAAATGAGAGCACACAACACATCCTCCAGGATCCATCTTATGTAGGACTCAAAATGTGTGTCAATAAATTCAAAAGACTGAAATCAAACTAAGTGCCATCTCTGATCACAACAGGAATAAATAGAAATCAATAGCATAAGGAAAACTAGAAATTCATATAGGTAGAAATTAAACAACATTCTCTTGACCAACAGGTCATAGAAGAAATCACAAAGGAAATTCGAAAATACTTTGAGACAAATGAAAACACCACTTCTCAGTGCTTAGGAGATGCAGCAAAAGCAGTGTGAAGAAAAGTACAGCTTCAAAAACTTTACATAAAGATTTTGGGGGTTGGAGAGATGGTTCAGCAGTTAAGAGCACTTGCTGCTCTTCCAGAGGACTCTGTTCAGTCCCCAGCACCCAAATCAGGAGGTTCACAACTATCTGTAACTCCAGCTCCAGAGTATCCAATGCCCTCTTCTACCTCCACAGGCACTCCGCACAACACACACACACACACACACACACACACACACACACACACACAAATCTTTTTTTTAAAAGATAGTTTCAAATAAACAACCCAACTTTATACCTTAAGAAACTACAAAAAAAAAAAAAAAGAATTAAGTTACATCAAATGCTAGAACTAGAAGGAATAAAAATTAGAGTATACAAAACAAAATGGAGAATTTTAAAAAAAATCAACAAAACCAAAAATTGGTTTCTAAAATACTAACAAAGGAGCTGGAGAGATGGCTCAGCAGTTAAGAGCACTGGCTGCTTCTGAGTCCCAGCACCCACATGGTAGCTAGCAACCATCCATAACTCCAGTTCCAGAGGATCTGACACCCTCTTCTGGCCTTTGCAGGCATTGTATGACACAGGTACACTTACATACATGCAGGCAAAATATTCATACACATAAAATAAATCCAAAAATTTAAATAACAAAAAAAATTGACAAACTTGTAGCTTAACTAAAAGAGAAGACCCAAACTAAAACCAGAAATTAAAAGTGGTAATGTTACTACTGGCTCTACAATGAAGAAGGAAAATGTGAACAGACCTGTAAGCAGCAAGGAACTACATCAGTCCTCAAAGTCCTTCCAACTATGAAAAGTCCAGGCCTACAAGATGCCCATCATAACACACCACTTGGCTGGGCACTGAGAGAGCTGGGTCCCAATAAAAGCACTCTGTGTCTATGTCATTAATAAGCACTTCAATATCTCCTCTTACAAATGGGGGCATCAGAACTCAAAGTCACACAGCCATAACACAACAACTGTCTTCTTAAGCTGAGGTCAATTCTCTGAAACAAACTTCAACCCACTGGGCAGGCAAGTGTGCACACTCCAGGTGTGGGCTAACGTCACCTTGGATGAGTGTTACAACACGGTGTTGGAATGTACTTCCTCACCTTCACCACCAGGAAGTCTGAGTTCACAGACCTGGGTGGGACTTTGGCAATGAAACTCCTTCCACACACCCTGCCACACATTGCTGTAATGGCAGGAGACACAAAAGGGACACAGATTTAAGAGAGAAACATGGAAGTCAGTGCAATGCAGGCCAAAATACTGAGTGATGACAAGAATGGAGATGGTCTGAGGCCACCACCTCCTCTTGTTACCTTCCTGACTCTGAGCTTCAAGCTCTGGGAAACATGCAAAGTGTGAACTGGAATCACCTAAAAAAAACCATGAAATCATTCCATCCGGGATAAAGCAAGTACAGTAATGAAACTGAACAACTCCATGTTCCAAGTCTACCCTGATACTGTGGCCCTCCTCCAGCCGTCCCAAGAGCCATGGGAAGCCTCCACTGTCCCCTGGCAATGCCAGCTTCAACGCTTCAGAAGTGACTGGCTAAAAAATGAGCTTGTGTGCTGCATTCTTAGGTTTTTTTGACACATTTATAAAAGGGACAGAAAGGTTCCTGGCATTTATTGCTTATCATTGTTTAAATGGAAGGAGTTTTTTCATCAAATCTGAGTGAATTTCTAATTTCCATAATTTCGAAGAGAAAAAAAAAATCTTTTTCACAACTCTGATCTCTCCTGTTTTGTAAAAGCAAGACATTAAAAATGGGGTCTACTCCTAGTTTTTTAGGAATGCATAAAAATGACCTTAAACAAAAGAGAAGTTTCTAATAGGTGGAATCCACATGCCCAATCCCCAATAGAGGCGGCGGCAAGGTTCCTCACCGCCAGGTCACTGTATATGTGGTCACCAAAATATAGCACTTTGGAGCCTCTCCATCCAGTGAGCTTCAAAAATTCATACAAATTTCCCTGCAATAAGAAAGGAGTATACATCAAGATAGGTAAGAGGCCCAGATCGCCCACGGTCTACAACACCTATGTTTTAAACAAGTAAAAATTGTTTATACTTTTATAGTTTATTTTAAATAATCAAAATATAAAGTCAAGGCCGGGATTGGTACTGCATGTGTTTAATCCCAGCACTCAGAAGGCAAAGACAGGTCAATCTCTGAGTTCAAGGCCAGCCTAGTCTACATAGAGAGTTCTAGGCCAGCCAGGGCTACATAGTGAGATCCTATCTCAAAAAACAATCAGTCAATAAATCAATAAATCAATCAATACATTTATTTTTAAAATAAAGCTAAAACTACTTTTTTAAAAAAATATTTTATTTATTTATTATTCTTATTTTATGTATATATGTGTATTGCCTGTATGTAGGTAAGTACACCCATGTCATGCAATGCCCACAGAGGGCAGAAGAGGCTGTCAGATCCCCGAACTGGAGTGTTATGGACAGTTGTTAGCTGCCATGTAGGTGTTGGGATTTGAACCCGGGTCCTTTGCTCAAGCAGCCAGTGCTCTTAACTTTTATTATTCTTATTTTATGTATATATGTGTATTGCCTGTATGTAGGTAAGTACACCCATGTCATGCAATGCCCACAGAGGGCAGAAGAGGCTGTCAGATCCCCTGGAACTGGAGTTATGGACAATTGTTAGCTGCCATGGGGGTGCTGGGATTCAAACCTAGGTCTTCTACAAGAACAGTCAGTGTTCTTAACCGCTGAGCCATCTCTCCAGCCTCAGAGCCATCTCTCCAGCCTCAGTTAAAAGCACTTCTATGGAAAATCTTTCAGACTCTTCTTTGATGACAAATGTGCTTTTCAAAAAAGCTTCACATTGCATAAATCTCTGTTAACTCTCTTCTCGCATTAAGTAAATATGTTGGGACCATCTTTCCATAAGATCTTTTCCATAATCTTATTATAATTACTATAGTTAAAAAGCACTATAATTCTGTCAGGTGTGGTGGCACAGCAGGCCTTTACTCCAAGCTTGAGAGGCAGAGGCAGGTGGATCTCTGTGAGTTAGAGACCTGCCTGGTCTCCAAAGCAAATCCAGGCCAGCTGTGGCTACAGGGGGACCCTGTGTCAAAAAGACCAAAAAAAAAATAAGTACCATAACTCCATCTATCAATGCCCTGATAGTGAACATTCATATGATTATCTTATAGTAAAGTTTTATTAGACAGATCTTCAAAGATCTTCTTATACTAACTTCTTAGAAGTAAAATGACTATATTAAATCTAAGTTTTCAAGGGCTAAAAAATACAATCATTGCTAACTCCAGCAGGCTATTATAGACCCAAGAATGTTCAGTGCTTAAAGAAAATAATTAACATCAACACATAAAAACGATTGGCAACTGTTGGCACTCAAATACATAACAGCCTTCCTTATATTGCCAAAATATTTTAAATTGTATAGAAAATGTATCTCAGCTGGAAACAACTGTGTGAATAATATGCCAAGATGAATACTCCATAAAGAGAAACCACCAGGGGCCGAAGAGATGGCTCAGTGGTTAAAAGCATTGGCTGCCCTTGCAGAGGACCTGGATTCAGTTCCCAGGACCCACATGGCAGCTAAGAACCATCCATATATAACTCCAGTTCCAGGGAATCCGACACCTTCTTCTAACCTCCATGAGCACGACATGGATATACTTCCATACAGGCAGGCAATACACTCATACACATAAAATAAACATAATAAATAAAATTTTTAAAAGGAGGAATCAATGTTTACTACTGATATCTTACATTTTATAAAGAAAATGCTTTAAATTTTATTTTTAACTTAAAAATGGTTGAACTAATACCAAATGTGACTATCAGCATATAGAAAATATATTGACTTTGGCCAGGTGTGGTGGTGCTCGT